CTACCAAATAAATAATTGGGAATATTTCTTATAAAAACAAAAAATGTATGCTGATATCCAAAATGTTTATTTATCATATGGATATAAATATTTCCTGAAAATTTTGCCAACATAGTTTGGTTAATACCAGTTATATTGTTAAGACATTGATGTGTATAATAAAATCTGACATATATTAGTAATTCTAAGTGGGGGGATCAATTTATTATTTAATAATAATTTAAAACTGATCTCCCACCTTTTGTCCAGTAGAAACTTATACTTAATGTAAATATAACGTGAAAATGTTCCTATCATCAGTTGGTTAATACCAATTTTGTTGTGAAAAAATTAACTTGCATAATAAAATCTGACATAGTTTAGTAATTCTAGGGTGGATCAATTTATTACTTAATAAGAATAGAAGACCGATCCCTCACTTTTTGTTCAGTAGAAACTTATATTAATATTTAATATAAGTATATCTTGATAATTTTCTTATTATTGTTTGATTAGTACAAATTTTATTATGAAAACATTGATTGCATAATAAAATCTGACATTGTGTATATATTTTACATTCATAAATATATATGCACTTTTGCGTGTGTGTTCATGTGCGATTATTTTATTAAGATCATAGAGTTCTTTTCCTTTCTAAGTAAATATCTTTCACCCAAAGGTTTACCTGGAGCCATTAATCTTATATTGTTAATGGAAAGCGGGAAGTAAATATAGATTCTGACACAGTTCCAATCTGGAAGAATACCAGAAAATTGAAGCAGATTTGTGGTAACCAATTCCATCATTTTTTTTCTTGTATTTATTTTCTACACTATAGTTGGTCTATCTTTGCAATCACTAAACTTTCAGCATTTATCAAGATTGTACCATGGAAACTGCACTGATAAAGATTGAAGGCCTTCTGCAAGAGAAAGAGACATTTATTATATACAAAGCACCATGTGACCTTGATTCTCTACCTGTGGGAATTGCCACATGCCAAGATGTCTGCATTTCACATGGGTTTTCTTTTCATCTCATTTGATGGTAGGGACAGGCAGGTGGCATAATGATATCATCAAGCCAAGTTCATATTCCAGCTGAGTCCTTTGTACTAATGGTCTGATCCTTGGGAAAGGCATTTTTCTTTCTTTATGATAACAGAGTAGAGGAGATGAACAGATTGTTGAATTTCATGTCTCTTACTTCAATTCTTTAAACCATCATTTCTCAACTGGTGCCCTCAGGCACACTAATGCACCATGAAAGGTAGCCAGTTACACCCTAAGTTAGCAGAAGAGTAATTTATTAATTATTTTATATTTAAAAAATCTTTTAAAAAGCTAGAGATACCAAGCACATGATTTCCATGTCTAGGTAAATTGACATTCCAACTGATGATGTTCACTTATCATTAACAGAAGAAGAATAGCTGGTCACTATATCTGCTGATCGTAGTATAAAAATCAAGAGGTATCCATTAATCAATTTGGGATTTTCATTCAACAAGAATATCCTTCAACAGCAAGTAAAGCATTGGATATTTTATTGCAATTTTCCACATTGTACCTCTCTGAATTAGGATTTTTCTGATTTTACCAACAGTAAATGCAAAAGTAGATCAAATATTAAATGCCTCAATGAGGAAATAAGAATATATTTATTGCATATAAGGTCTAACATTCAAAAAATTGCCAATGCACATTAAGCAAAAGGTTTCACACACATATACTTACATATACAATGTAATGTCTTAAAAATAAATGCTTATTTCAAGAGACTTCTTTATTATTTGCCTATTTTCAAATTTTATAACTAATTTTTCATTATTAAAATTTAAAGTGGATCTCAGAGTTTTAGTTATTCTAGAAGTTCATCCTGAAATAAAGGTCAAGAAACACTGGTCTTATTCATTTCTTCTTTTTATGGATGGATATGCAAAAGACATTTTAGCTGCTTTATAAACTGATAACAGGAATTTGCTATGGAAGAAAAATTTATTCTCCCATTTGAATTTCCCCCATTATGAGCATTATTATGTATGTGATATGATAACACAATATTTCACGGGCATAATGGAATAGCTGAATGGAAAAGAATGACAAACATGCTTAATTCTCAGAGAGAGTTTTATAATGCTACATTGTACACAAAGTTAGATATATACAAATATACATATATCCCATACAGGGAAATTATAATATATGCAACAACAAATGGTGTATAAAAAAGGGAAACCTTACTTGTAATATTTCCTCAAGGGAAAACTGGATCTTCTCTATGAACAAGGTTAGGCCATGTGTTTTTTTTTTTTTGTAAGAGCTACCACTGTGGGCTAGGGATGTCTTTCTTCTCTGGGCTCTACAAGTGTGCCATGAAGTAAAAAAATGATTGAGGAACATTGCTTTAAACCCTAACACTACAACAGAGAATGCATCAACAAGTTTCCTTCTTTTTTTTTCTCATTTTATTATATGAGGGAATGTAATTATAGTCCTGTTTCTAGGAGGAATTGTGATGGAGAAAGAGAAGATCAAAAGAATGTATGTCAAATGTTTGGCCAAAATCTCATCCCCATGTGCTGACTTGCCTCACTAAGAAATCTGGGTATGGGAAGTATCTTGATTATTAATTCTTGCAGTCATCTCTGTGTCTTCATGCCTGTTTGGTTTTATATTAAAAAATTTTAAACAGTAATCCATCACTGTCAGAATTCTATGCCCTCAAGTCAAACCACAACCACTCAGTTCAGGTCAGCAGAATTCTGACCAGTTGTTTGCCATTCTAGGCCAGATTACACATTCTGTAACAAGATCCTGATCTTTTACAGCTGTGCAGAATCAAAAATATATAATCCCTGTAGCATTCAGTTTTGCACTCATTTCCTTGGAAAAGGCACAAATACATTTCTTCTCACCCACCCAAGAACACGGGGGGGGGGGGAATAACAGATACTTCACTCTGATTTTCAGTGTCTATGCCAATCAAAAAGTAATTCCTCTTGTATCCACTTTTATACTAATATTTTTTGGAAGGGCATTAATTCATCTTATCTACCCCCAGCAGAAAAGAGGAACAGATACTACACTTTTATCCACAGCAACTGTGCTATTCTAAAAGTAAATAATCCCTTTTGCATTTGCTTCCACACTAATGTCCTTGTGAAAGACATGAATCCATCTCTTCTCTTCCAATTCTGGGTTAAATAACAGGACAGAATGGGCTCTTTAGCTTTGGGTGGTAGCCAGTCTAAGAGAAGGAAAATTCTGAATTTAAACTAATTAGGCATGCTGACATTGATTTTTGAGTGGCAACCTTTTATGTTTCATTTTTTGCTTCACATGATAGATATGTCTTCACTGTGAGAAGCCCCTTTGGCTCTAACTAAAGGGCATATTGTTTTTTTCTTTTTTTAATAAGATTCTGTAATTTGTTTACATGTCTTTAAAAATTTCTTTCTGATCAGTTGCTGTAAAGTACTTTTTTCCTGCTGCCATTTTTCTTTGATGTCAAAACATGTCAACAAAATTTCATTTGGAAATGTTATTTAAACTTGGAAACGTTCATTCCATTAAGAAAATTATATTCACTTCTCTTCTATTAACATATGTATTTTTATATCTTTAAATTTGTCTAACCCTTCTCAAATACACACCTCCATACACAAATATACTGTATCTGAGATAGTTCAGGGGGCTCAAATTTCTCCATTGTACATTTACTGTTGCTAGCAGTATTAAATGTATTGTCTATAATTTTGAGAAGACTAGTTAACATATCCAATATTATATTATGAAATGAACAAAGTCCGACAATTATTTAAGACATTTTTTTTTTATATCAATACATTCTTTTTATAGATACAAATCATGGAGAATTGTGTTTTATAGTGAAAAGTATGGAGAATTGTGTTTAAGGCACGTCAGGCTATATGATGGTTCCGTATAGGATACATATTCGATTCCTGTCAGAGGACACATATTTTCTATGAAAATTTCTCAGACATTCAGGCTGGTAAATGTTGTTAATACTATTTATTATGAACAGAGCATTTACTTAAATGTTTGTCTATAAAAAGAACGTATAAACATTAAAAAAATGTCTTAAATATCCAATATTGTTTGACTGATCAAATGTCTTCTTTATATATTTGCTGCTGTTATTGCAGAGTTCAGTCAATCTATTTTTAGTGTTTGTCAGGTGTAATCCCTACAAACAGAGGAAGCTTCTAACTCCACAAAAACAGTAGAAAATATACAGAAAGTTTTTAACTTCCAAATAATGTTGGATATGCTATTGACTCTTCTTCCTGTTATAGCCAATACAGATTTACTTTATCTAGCAATACAGAATTCATTGTATTGTATTATGGACACTACACTAAGCATCAATGCATAGAGCTGTACAATTTTGTTGTTAGAATGAATAGTTGTAAGCAGTGTATAAAAAAACAGCTCTTGTAAAATATATGTCTTAGATGCTAGTGTCCACAATAGAGAGGCATACAATGATGCCTAAGCTCACTGGAAATGCATGTGGGTGTGCTTTATTTTGAACATGATGCATGTCTCACATTTTTACTTCAGTCTTTATTTTTTACATTTCCCCTTTCATCTTTATTACTTCTCTTTTCATCTGTCTTCTTTACCCATTTTCTTCTTCTCTATCAATTATATTTCCTTCCTTTTTTTTTTTTTTACCATGTCTCTAATTCTCTATCTCTCACATTCTCTTTCTTCTTGTTTCTTTATCATTTCTCTTCTTCTCTCTCACATTCTCTTTTTCTCTTTCTTCATTGCCATTTCACTACTTTGATCTCATATTCTCTTTTCCTCTTTCTTCTCTACCATTTCTATACTTCTCTCTTGCATTCTCTTTTCCTCTTTCTTCTTTAACATTTCTCTACTTCTCTCTCACATTCTCTTTTCCTTTTTTTTCCTTTACCATTTCTCTTCTCTGTCATCTTATACTTTATTTTCGGCTTATGGCCAATATTATATTGAAACACCAGTTCTCTTATGACCACTGAAGTTAAGCAAGACTGAACCTGATTAGGACCTAGATTGTTGACCACTTCGGAATACCAAGTGCTGTAAGCTTGAATGAGTGGATGGGGTAGTGGATAATGGCTTGGATTTGAAGTGCCAAGTTCTAATTCCAGTTGGGCTGATTATATTCACTTACTTGAAAATACCCTTGGGAAAGGTATGAATCCATTGTTCTTCTCGCAGATATGGGTTAATTAGTAAAACATCTATTAGTAAATTATTATCTTCCAAAAAATTCTTACAATCTAAAAATATTTTCTGGCTTTGAATAACCAGCAAAAAATTGATAAACAATAAAAAAAAAAAAGAAATCAATCAATCAATCAATCTTCTTCTTTACTCTTTCTTCTCTTACACTCTCTTTTCCTCTTTCTCCTTTACCCTTTCTCTTCTTCTCTTACATTCTCTTCTCCTCTTTCTTCTGTACTATTCCTCTTCTCCTTCTCTTAAATTCTCTTCTCTTTCTTCCTTACTATTTCTTTTCTTCTCTGACATTCTCTTTCCTCTTTCTTCTGTACTATTCCTCTTCTTCTCCTTCTCTTAAATACTCTTTTCTTTTTTATCTTTACTCTTCCATTCTCTTTTCCTCTTGCTTTTTTTACCTTTTTTCTTCTCTTACATTCTCTACTTCTCTTTCTTCTGTACCATTCCTCTTCTCCTTCTCTTACATTCTCTACTTCTCTTTCTTCTGTACCATTCCTCTTCTCCTTCTCTTACATTCTCTACTTCTCTTTCTTCTGTACCATTCCTCTTCTCCTTCTCTTACATTCTCTACTTCTCTTTCTTCTGTACCATTCCTCTTCTCCTTCTCTTACATTCTCTACTTCTCTTTCTTCTGTACCATTCCTCTTCTCCTTCTCTTACATTCTCTACTTCTCTTTCTTCTGTACCATTCCTCTTCTCCTTCTCTTACATTCTCTACTTCTCTTTCTTCTGTACCATTCCTCTTCTCTTCTCCTATTCTCTTTACCATTCTCTTCTTCTTCCTCTCTCCTTTTCTTACTTCTCTTTCTTCTGTACCATTCCTCTTCTCCTTCTCTTTAAATTCTCTTTTTCTTTTTTTATCTTCTCTTTTCTTCTGTTTTTTACCATTTTTCTCTTCTTCCTTCTCTTACCATTCCTCTTTCTCTACTTCTCTTTCTTCTGTACCATTCCTCTTCTCCTTCTCTTACATTCTCTACTTCTCTTTCTTCTGTACCATTCCTCTTCTCCTTTTCTTACATTCTCTTCTCCTATTTCTTCTTTACCATTCCTCTTCTTCTTCTCTCCTTACATTCTCCTTTCCTCTTTCTTCTGTACTATTCCTCTTCTCCTTCTCTTACATTCTCTACTTCTCTTTCTTCTGTACCATTCCTCTTCTCCTTTTCTCTCTTACATTCCTCTCTTCTCTTACATTCTCTACTTTCTTCTTTACCATTCCTCTTCTTCTTTTCTCTTCTCTTCTCCTATTTCTTCTTTTCCTCTTTTCTTCTTTTATTCTTTTCTCTTTTCTCTCTTTCTCTTTTTCTTTTCTCCCCTTTCTTCTGTACCATTTCTCCTCTTTGTTTCTCATATTTTCTTTTTCCTCTTTCTTCTTCCTGCAAATGAAATTCTAATTCTATGTTGGACAGAGCTAATCTTATCATGTTTCTGAGTTTGCTTCTTGGCATAGCTTCAAAGTTGACCTTCATTACCTTTTCTTCATTCGATGCCAAGAAGGACATGAAAAATTATAGGTGCACTTTTCATCTTTTGCTCTTTTTGCAGCCTCCTCTATTATTCTGATTTTTATTATCTGTTATTATTCATCAATGGTCCCTACACTCTATTGTCCTCTTTCTTCTTCTATATGACATATCCCTTCAGGATGTAGGCGATCTTGGTTCTCCACATCTTCCTATCACTTGTAGGACATAGCAGCTTTTCTTCCTTTTCCATGCTATGCACCCCTTGATCCATCATCTATCCACACAACCTCCTCAGATAAGTGGCCTGTTGCCTTCCCTCATCTCTCTTGCCCTCAATATGCCCTGTAAGGGATAAGTTCTTCAAACCCTCTTTCCTCATGATGTTCAAGGAATTCCAGCTTTCTTTTTCTGATTCTGAGTATGTTTCCTTTTTGTGGGCATTTTCTTCAAGACTTTCTCATTGCTTACTTGTCCTGTTCATGTAATTCTCAGTATCCTTCTGTAGAACCACATTTCTGTTGCCTCCAGTTTTTTCTTTTTCTGTCCATCATTAACTGGCATATAAGAGGATTGATATCACATAAAATGTGCTGAACTGCTATGTAATATCCATCCTCTTTTTTCTTACTTGAATAAAAAACAATTATTTTATTTATAGACTACTCAAATCTGATCTGATCATGGCTTTTTAATCCTTATTAAATCATAAAATTTCATAACTGTGTAATGTTAGGAAAGAACAGACATTAAATTTTAGCCTCAAAATCATTATAGGAATGTCCTACACAACATGGCCTCATGAATACAATTTTGATAAAGGTTATTTATTTATTACCATAAAATCATATATTCAGTTTCAACATTGGAAATTTACTGAGTGGAGGAACAAATGATTGATCCTCTTCTATAATGTGGCATGTCGCTTCAAAACATGAGTGATCATAGCTCTCCACAACTTCCTTTTCCTTGTATAAAATTCGTTAGAATTCCAATTTAAGATAATCTTCTGAAGGGACACATCTTCTGTATGCTGTGTCCCTTCAGAACATAGGTAATTATGGCTCTCCACAACTTCCTATTCCTTGTATAAAATTTGTTAGAATCCCAATTTAAAATCTTCATGATGTGTCCCTTCAGAACATAAGTCATCATTTCTCTCCACAACTTCCTATCCTTTGTTCAAATTTCTTTAGAATTCCAATTTAAGATCTTTTATATGCTATGTCCCTTCAGAACATAGGTGGTCATGGCTCTCCACAACTTTCTTTTGTAGCACAAAGTAATATTTGTCTCTTTACTATTCTTCCCATTACCTGTTCTGCCATTCATTTACACAAGCTTGTTAGCTCACTCTTTTCCTCTGTTCTTTTTGTATTTGGTGTGTCCTATGAGTATCAAATTCTCCAAGCCCTCTTTCTTTATAATGTGTCAAAGAAATTTCAACTGTCCCTTTCTGATTCTGGGTGTCCTTTTAGTTTCCATTTTCCTTGAAATTTGCTCATTGCTCACAAGCTCCATCTACTTTTCTGAAATTTTCTCGATATGAATGAATTTAAGCATCATATTCATGTAGACAAATCAACTGTTCAGTTAATCATGGGCAGAAAGCACTTGCAGAAGAAAATACATTGCAACAAATCCAGTAAGGACAGTGAAACTGATCTCCAAAATCAGCTTGGCTGAAATATTGTGATAAGAAATATAGACAATCTTGTTTTAGAATCAGCGTATAATATTAACAACACCTTATTTCAAAAATTCAGGTGGAAAGTTCATTATCATAGTATTTGAACTGTTATGATAAAAATGACAAGGAAACTGGTGTAAATAAATCAATGTATATAATGCTAGCTTCATCTCAGAAATCCAGGTAAATGATGTACTGATAAATAGTTATAATAAAGACTTGAGTTTTCTACTATCAAATAATTTTCATGCTCTCATTTTGTAAGCCAAAGTTGGCTTAATCCAGCAAATATGTTATTGGAATAAAGAGTAAACAATAAAATTAAAAGAATGAAAAAAGAGAATTGCAAATGGTTCGCTTCCTAGTGATTGTTATTCTATAGAAATCTTGTCACTGTCCATTCAATGAAATATTTGTTCAGTCAACAAATTGCAGTTTTATTAACAATAATCATACCACTAATTTCTCATTTAACTCTTGGCTATTCTCTTTATAAATCATTCTTAATATTTTCATTTTTTTCTTTTTGTCTACTACTATTGTGATTGTATTGTCTGTTTATTTTTTGTTTTCTTCTTTTTCCTTCATGACATAGAATCATCTTCTCTTCCTGCTTCTCTTACTGCTCTTCCAGTATGAATCAAAAGAATACTTTTTTTTTCTGTTTTTCCTTTTGGTGATCTTCTCAGCACTGTCTATTTCTGCATTGCCAGCTGCATCTTTGTTACTCTCCACAGACTGCAACTTCCTTCATCTTCAGGAAGTTTAGACTTGTGCTAAATTTTATTTTTATTTGTGGAATATTTCTTCTTCTGGCGGATAATTTTTTGTTATTTTTCTTAATTTATTTTTTATCTTTCCTTCTGAAAACAGAAATTAATTGGTTGCATTTTCAGTAACTTTTCTTTTAAATTTGAACTTGCAACAAAAGATTATATAAACAGCATTTTTTATTGTTTTTGTTTCTGGATTCATACTCATGGTTAAAAAAAATACTACTTGTAAAAGAAGAACTATTCTATATTGTCCATTCTAAAGAATCAGTATGCATGCCAATGCATGCTTATAAATATATATGCAGATACACACACACACATATATAAATATGCACATACAGATACACACACACAAACACATATACACACACACATGTTTTAAACTTTTCAGGTCGGGTCCTTGTCTTAATGTCTGAATGTTCCTTCACCTCCCAAACTGCTATCAACAAATACTATTGTCTTACTCTGTCATCCTTTTTCTTTTCCTTCTCTTTTCTCCCTTTTCTTTACCCTTCTTTGTATCCTCTTAAAGTGTTTCTCCCTATGTTTTTTTTTCCTATAAGTGGCTTGCTTGTAAATAGAATTGTTCATAATTATATTTGGTTCTTACCAGACAAGATGCAGTCGCATCAAAACAAGAATGCATCTTTGTAGTGAGTAAATTGTTTTTGTCTGTATGTAAAAATTATAATAAATAATTATTGTTCTACACTTGGTATTGAGCTCTCTTTTGAATTAATGCTGTGAACATTAGAATTTATATTATTTTTGTTCTCATTACATTCGGATTTACACATACACACACACACACACGTATATACATATGAGTATATATACATACACACACACACATATATGTACAAATATATATATATATATATATATATATATATACAAGTACACACACATATACACAAATGCATGCACACACACACACACACATATATATATATATGTATGTATGTATGTATGTGTGTGTGTGTGTGTGTGTGTGTGTGTGTGTATATATATATATATTTAAAGTTATAAGAAATAATGTTAGTTTATATATAAAATCCATTAATTCCTTAAAATTAGTGTGTTTATATTTTGGGTAAAATAAAAAGTGAACCGATATGTGTTTCAAGAGACCTGAAGAAGATATTTACATTTCTTAAATAGTGTAATTGAACTTTGTTTGACTGTGAAAATGTTCTGTGCCCTAATTGTCTGAAAGCATTTCAGTTTCGCCCAATTTGCACCAAGCAGTTATGTGCTTTGATAGGGAAAACTCTCTCAAATATAAAACCAGATTCAGCAGTTCATTCAAATCTTTTTCACATACAAAATCTGCAGAATTTTACACAGAAGTTATCAGAGACATGCCCAATAAGTGGCAACAAGTCATTGTAGATAATGATGATGAGATAACTGAATAAAATGCAATTGTGCTTCATTTACTTTAGAAGAATAAATTTGAGGAATAAAAACAGAAATTATTTATGTCAGTTAGTCAAGTGCCACATGTGATACATGCTTGTGTGATCATGTGTCTTTTGATACATGACTGACGAGGCAGAAGATTTTTCCCACAGTAGGTTGTCATTTCTTTCTGCGGTAGATTGGTTGCCGATCAAGGCTAAAGAACCCAGTCTGTCCTGCTATTCAGTCCATAGCTAGAGGGGGAAGGAGAAGAGGTGGATTCATACCTTTCCCAAGGGTATTTGTGCATAAGTGAATATAACAAACTTGACTGAAATTTAAAATTCTGAAATTCTTATTATCACTCAGTACCTGTTCTACCATCAATTTACACAAGCTTGTTAGATAGTTTACACACTATTTGTCTCTTTGCTTCTTGCTTTCAAATGGAAATTGCTTGGACAAACTGCATTTCTTGGTTATGTCAGCTCTAACCTTCATGGCCAGGACCCACCATGCTATTCAAATTGTAGCAAATCTTCCACACTCCCTTCATATTCCACTAGAGAAAAGGAAGTTCCTCTCGAATAGCTTCTTCCTGCAAACTACTGCTTTGTGGAACCAACTCCAAAGAGGATGCTTCCCCAATCACATAAATCTTAACTGGTTCAAGCCTAGGGTTAACCGTTATCTTCCCCTACCATCTGTATAAACTGCCTCTTATTGTAACCCTCTACCTTAATGTAATAAAAAAAAATGTCCTTTGAGTATCAAATTCAAATTCTTGTTTTTCTGATTCTAAGTATAATAGAAAGATTTGAAACACCATTGTTGAAAACATACTGATCGAAGCAGCAAATAAAAATACTGGTCAAAATTAGTGTTTCTCAACCTATGGCCAAATTGGACCATGGTAAATTTTAAATGGGCCACAAAATGGAAGTAATTTTTTACACTATAATAATTTCATGGGCCACAGAAAAATTCTGGCTTCAAAGTGAACCATGAGTTAAAAAAAAATAGATTGGAGACCACTGGTCTAAATGATTCATACTTCCTTCCTA